AAAAAAAAAAAAAAAAGTTTTGTATGAGGTCTTGCTATGTTGCCCAGGCTAATCTCCAACTCCTGGCCGCAAGCAATCTACCAGCTTGGCTTCCCAAAGTGAGCCACTGCATCCAGCCCAAATGGCCTTTTACACACTTTTTCTTATCACAAAATCTGTGTTATAATGAGCAGGTTCACAGTCCTACCTACAGTATGTATCGATTAAAATTTGGAAATCCAATCTTTAAGGCTCAATTTGATGTTTTTGAGTATTCAATTACTCTGACCCTACCCTGACTTTCTCAACTCCTCCCTCTGGATCACACCACTTAATCTCTGATTTTATTTCTTTTCCTTTTTTTTTTTAAGACTGAGTTTCACTCTTGTTGCCCAGACTGGAGTGCAATGGCGCATCTCAGCTCATCGCAACCTCCGCCTCCTGGGTTCAAACAATTCTCCTGCCTCAGCCTCCCGAGTAGCTGGGATTACAGGCATGTGCCACCACACCTAGTTAATTTTTGTATTTTTAGTAGAGACAGGGTTTCTCCATGTTGGTCAGGCTGGTCTCAAACTCCTGACCTCAGGTGATACGGCCGCCTCGGCCTCCCCAAGTGCTAGGATTAAAGGCATGAGCCACCATACCTGGCCTCCACTTCGTTTATTTCTGATAGTCTTGATCCTCCACTTGAAACAGTGAGCTCACTAAAGGGAGGAACTTGTCTTAACTTCATTGTTTGTGAAATTCCCTCAGCATCACTCTGAGTGTGAATTTTGGGAGTGCACACTTTGATAAGGAGGAAGATACACTTACCAACCACACTGACCTTGCAGTCTGCTGCTGACAGTAGGCTGACCAACTGTTTTGGTTTGCCCGCATGTAGCACTGGAAGCCCCATGTCCCAGTAAAACTGGGATGGTTATTATCCTGATTTAACTATGAGATCAGCTAACAGTATAGCCAACGTATCTAAAGCCACAGCTGGGAAAATAGTCTGGTTATTAGGTGATATCAAAGAATTATTGCTAATTTTTTTGGTGTGACAATAGTATCATAGATGATGATGAGTATGTATTCTATTTTTGTACATGTGAGAAATTTTTCATAAAGTTTCATAAGAAAAAAAGATTTTAACTTAATGAATACTTGAGTGGACTGCAATTCTGTACTCACTACCATAATTTCCCTACAATACAAAAGCTGCTAGGTGAATCAATGTAGGGTGATGTGGGTATGATCTATCCTGTCAGTCCTTGAAGATTTTAAAGGAAAATACATTACCCATGCATTTTAGCAATACCAGATACAGGGCCAGGTGTGGTGGCTCATACCTGTAAACCTAGCACTTTGGGAGACTGAGGCAAGCGGATTGCCTAAGCTCAGGAGTTCGAGACCAGCCTGACCAACATGGTGAAACCCCATATCCACTAAAAATACAAAAA